TGTCACAATGGCTGACTATAGCTGACAACTTAGTAATTTGCAGCTCAAAACAAATAACAAAAAAAAAAAATAATAACATATTTATAAATAATAGTTTTTCTTGAAAAACCAATTATTGTCTTGAGCCTTACAACAAAATTAAACTGCAAACTATGGACTATTAAAGCTACTGAAGAAATCTTAAGTCATTCAAATATATTAAGCAACTACTGCTCACTTCAGCAAGCATGGTAGCAAACTGTGTTGAAGACAAGAAATATTTCTTGGGGAATTTTTGGAAGACATAGTTTAGTTTAAATTAGCACTTCCTAGAGTGCTTTAAAAAAGAAAAAAAAACAACTTTCTTTTAACAACCCTTCTATACTTCAAAAACCATAATCACTCAACAATTCAAAGTAACCACCTAGTACCCAGATTCTGAGCCTGCTAGAAAAGAATGGTTTCCTGCAATGTATGACCATGGCAGTTGTGAAGCTATCAGAGCTGATTTTGTTTCCTTTGCTCTCATAAATAATTCGTATACAAATTGTTCAAAATGCAACAGCTCTATTCTCTCATTATTTTTAAACCAAATGGAAAACTGATTGTCTCTGACCACTGGTAGATTTGGGTCCTTTTTAGAAAGCCCAATAATAAACTGGAAATAAGAAAGTAATTCAACATTCTTTAATTAATTTAACAAACTCTCTATTAACTGACCTAACCAACAATCGTTTAACATCTAGCACATACAAAGAATACAGAAACAATAATAAGCAATTAGGACTCTTGAGGAGTTTACACATTAGCAGTGGGTTGAACAAAATTACTTACTTTGACTTTGAAATAAAGAAAATATAGTTCCTCAGATAGTAATCACATGCCACATACAAAGTAGGTATAGAGAGCCAAAAGTTAACTCACATCAATGACACACTTAGCAGGCACTCCTCCGCCTTCTGCCTTACTTTTATCATCCTCACCAGCCAAGATTTTTCCCCCCAATGAGAAAATACAGGTGCTCAACATCTGACCCTAGACCTAAGTCACAGATTGGAGACTATCAGATTTTAACATAAAGTCACTTTGTGTGGTGGTAAATCTTTTAAGTTCAACCATACAGACTTATATCTCTGGGTAACATTCAATCCAAGCATAGAAATGAAAAAAAAAAAAAAAGCTAGAGAATTCCTAAAACCACTCCTGCTGTCTGAGACCTTAGCCCCCTACTCCTTGAAGAGGCAATGAATCCACTCCGCTTTTTTCTCCTATTTGAATGTAGTATTTTTAAAACCACCAGTCCATTTGGCCATGATCTATGGCCCACCATAAATACCAACTGGTGTGGTCAAAGGGTGTAATTGTAAGCAAAGTATGAAGTGACTAAGAGAATAAGCCTGCAAAATAACACTCTTAGGGAGTGGGACCTACCAGGGAGCCAAGGAATCAGAGACAAGATCTCCCTTGGACACGACTGTCTTTTAAAATCATCACTGGGCAAAGAGGTTCTATGTCCTTGAACTCCACCCAAGAACCCCCAAGCATGCCCAAGTATCAGGCAGAAAGAGTTAAGGATGCAGGCTCTCGAGCTGGACTGACTGGCTTCAGATCCTGGCTCCATACTTAACAGCATCAGCACCTTCTCTCTGACTCCACTCCTTCCTCTGTAACTAGAAGATAAGAATAGCATCTACCTTATAAGACTAACCAGAGAATAAAATGGGATCACAGTTAAAGAGCTTAGCACAGTAGCTCGCTCACAAGAAACACTAAGTAAATATGCACACCTGTATCTACTATTTTCAAGGGCTACCTGAACTACCAGTTCATTCCTAAATTTAAAATGTCAACACAGCTACTACTAATTGGCTGGGTCCCTTTTAAACATCCCTATACGGGAGTAGTATTATCTTCATTTTAGAGCTGAAAAATAAAAGTTTAGAAGAATTCAAAAACTCATCTAAACTTACCCAGTTAATAAGTGGTAGAGCAATAAAAGCCCTGATCATAACCCAGCAAAGTCTGCATTATGTCATCTACCTCCAAAAGGCTTAAAAGCATTTTTAAATTATACTTCAATATTCTAGCATCATTATTTGTTAAAAGAAGTTATGTTGGGCTGGGGATGTGGCTCAAGCGGTAGCGCACTCGCCTGGCATGCGTGCAGCCCGGGTTCGATCCTCAGCACCACATACCAACAAAGATGTTGTGTCCGCCGAGAACTAAAAAATAAATATTAAAAATTCTCTCTCTCTCTCTCTCTCTCTCTCTCTCTCTCTCCTCTCTCCTCTCTCCTCTCTCACTCTCTYTWWAAAAAAAAAAAAAAAAAAAAAGAAGTTATGTTATTCTAAAAATCCCTAGACTCCTTCCACTAAATCAGTACGAATCACCTATAAAACCAAGAACACCACACAAATTCTGATAAACTATCAAAAACACAAAATTGTTTTTCTTAACAGAATAAAAGCAAAAATGACTGGGTATGGGGCTGGGATTGTGGCTCAGGGGTAGAGTGCTCCCCTATCATGCATAAGACACTGGGTTGGATTCTCAGCACCATATAAATGTAAAATTAAGATATTGTGTCCACCTAAAACTAAAAAATACATTTTTTAAATCACTGAGTAAATCATTGCAGCCATTTTAATTAAATAGCTTTAAAAGTTCAAAAGTACTGCAGACATATAGTATATCAAGTCATTCTTCTTTCAGAATATGTAATTTGATCCTGCACAAGAATTCACACACTCCAATTGGCCTGTGTAACATCTCTCTTTCCCTATGTTTGCCCAGTGTGTAACAAAATTAACAAGAGTTAATAGTTACTCCAAATATTCTCTCCAACCTACACTTATACTACTTAAGATGACTTACTACAAGTGTCCTAAAAGAAAATAATCAAATTCATATTAAGTATGTCATGGTGACTGATCTCACAGAATTTTTTTAAACTCTCACACTGAGATCCAGAAATAGTTAAATTTATTCAAATTTACAACTCCAACAACTTCAAGGAAAACCAAAATAGCATACCATCCTAGTCAAAGCTATTTATCCCCACTAAATGAATTGGTCACCCAGTTTCCTGAAAACAGAGCTCATAATAATTGCTAATCCTTAAAAGTTAAAATAAAGGGCATGCTTTACTTGTGGAAGAAGTAGTGATATGGATAAGCCAAGTCATATAATTTCACTTTACTTTCTATTTGCTTTACCCAGGCATGACATTCTTGTAATCCTCTTTGTAAACAAATGAGATGATATAATAAAGCATATAAACTGAAGCAGAAGAGAGAACAAAATGCCTTAATATTTCAAAAATTTCCTGCAATTTCAATAATCTGAAACTCCCAAGTATCCAAAAAGAATTACCACATAACTGTAAAAGTCAAATATTTATACAGGTGCCTTAAAAGCCACTGTTGGGTACACACCATCAACACTGACATTTACTATCTGTTAAGTAGCTTCAAAGTGCAATGACATTAGTCAAATAACTGGCTTTAAGTGTGAAGTTTATGACAACAACTAATACATCTGGAGAGACTGTGAAGGTGTGATACTTATCACAACTTTCATCAGACCAGCAAAAGGCAGGCAAGCTATGACAAGATGGGACCTGGGCACAGGTGCCTTTTCTCATTTCAGGAGGGAAACTTAAACTGATACCTTCATGGATAATTTAACAAGGATTGTTCCATAAATTTTTAATGTTATTTATGACTTCTTATAATTACTTTTTAATTGCTTTCAAAACCAATGGTCTTAGGACAAAAGTGAGAATGAAGAGAAGAAAACTTTCAGCTTCAAATTAAGAAAAAGGGGACTGCTTAATAGGGCTAGCACCTCAAAAAGGTTATAAACCCCTAAATCCACATTCTGTACGAAGCTGGGAAGAATTTTCAGAAATAACAGAACTCCAAATGAAGGAGTTATTCCTAGTCTATTACCTAAATTTACAATTAGGAATACCTCCTTAATGGACAATTTACAAATTTACAATTAGAAATGTCTACTTTTGTTGTCATAATAAATCTAATTCTGAGAAATTTTCCTATTAAGGATAAGAAGAAAGAAGGAATAGAATAACATTTGTGAACACTCAGCTAAACTTTGGATAATAAACTTCTTAGATAATGATTTATGCTGTTCATCTCCCAGCACGAATAAAACATGTGTACCGAGAACTAAACAAAATCAGGCTAAGCTGAAGTCGAGTTCCCAATACCCAAGGTTCAATTCTAATGTTCTTTTCACCACTTCTTCAAAACAGAATCTGCCAGGTTAAGTTTGCAGGTGAGGACAAACACTACGAAGTAAAACTCCAAAACCAGAGTTTCTATCTAACATCTGAGCGGCAAGGCCAGTTACACCCACTACAAGGGCCCAGCCAGGAACCAGATCCCTCTTCCTCTTCCATGCTCAGGCTCTCCGGACTGACGGGGTCGCATAGGGAAAAATTCTGCAGATGAGTCTTGGGAGCCAAGTTCAGCCAGAGAGATGCCACAGGTGGCCTGAATGGCTGGTTCCACACCATGCTTTATGGCCTCTGGAAACCCCCCAGCCCATTCCAGTCTCGCCCAAGCCCAAGGTGCCCTCCGGCCTTAATTTGTCCAACTTTAAGTGGAAGCGAGTTCGGAACAGCTTTCAGGTGTCCCCTCTTGGTCCGTTAAGTGGACTAGGAGTACCAGCCCCGGGCACCAATCCCGCCCTTCCCTAGGAATTGTGTAAAGGTCCTAGAGGGGCGTCGGGCAGGCTGTGGGTAAAGAGGCCCAGGAAGGGGCAGCTCTACAGTCCCCTGCGGGGCGCCTCGCCGGCTGACGCAGCCCCGCCTAAGCGGACGGTTCCGCGCCTTCCCGGGACCCCGCGGGGCACCGGGGCCCGGCGACGCCCCACGCCCCCATCGCCGCCCCACGCCCCCATCGCCGCGGGCGCCGCCGCCCGGCCAGGTCTCCCAGACAACAGCCGCCGCCGCACTTCCGAGGCGGGTCCCCGCGCCCACCCGCGGCCCGGTCGCCCACCTGTCCCGGGGGTCGATCCAGCTGGTCCTCCTGGTGTTGTGGTCAATGTAGAAGACCTTGCCGTCGTAGTCCCTGGCCTCCTCCCAGCCCCGGGGTAGCGGCAGCTGCCCGCTCCCGGCCCTCCTAGGCATGGTCGGCGGCCTCGCCGGCGAGCGGCGCCTCCATAGGGACCCGGCGCGGAACGCAGCGGGAACACGACTGCCCGGCCTGGCCGCCGCACCCGACGCGGGCGCCGGCGAGGGGCTGCGGGGCGCGCTGCTCGGCGGGGCCACGCGCGGGGGACGCCTCAGGAAACCCTGCTCTCGGCCCCGCTGGGGATCAGTCCACCATGTCTGCGTCGGAGCAGACAAGCGAACCCTCCTCCTCCTCCTCGCCGCCGCCGCTGCTGCCTCCGCCTCTTCCTCCTCCTCCTCCCAGTCCCCCTGTGGCCGCCGAGGGTCGCGGCGCCCAGGCTGCCCAAGCCGACGCCGTCTGGGCTCGGATCCGGGAAGCTCCGCCGAGCAGCGGCCCCGGCGGCGACGGGCCTCCTCATTTGCATGCTATTAGCATGCGCCCGCCCCCCGCCCCTCCCCGCGCGGGTTCATCTGCATGCACATTCCTCGCCGCCACATTCCTGGGCTTAACCCTGCCGCTCCCGCGGGCGGCTGCGCCAGCCGGGACGCCCGGCTCGAGCCCGAGGCGGGGGAGGGGAGCCCAGGGACCAGGTGGGAGGGAAGAGAGCGAGAGGAATTCTCGCTCGCACCTTCCCTGGGACCCCAAACGTCGCCCTGTGGCCAAACCCTTGGTTTTTTGGAGTTTCGGGAGTGGAAAGAGCGCCAAAGAGAAGTCTCCGCAAACTTCTCAACCTCTTTCCGTCTTCTAGGGAAGCCACAAGACTTTCTAGAGGAAAGGGGTGGGGGAAACTGTCCTCGGAAGAAGTCCCAACAAACAACGAGGACACAAAGGCTCCCTCACGCCGCCGCCCCAGCCCTTCGGAACCCCGGGGACCGAGTGGCGGTGGGGAAGTGCGAAAGCCCTGGAAGGGTGTCCGTGGCTWGTCCGGGGCGGCCTCGCGCCCCCCCCCCCGGCCTCTCCAGGGCGCCTGGCCCTCGGTGACCTCAGCGGAGACCGCGGGCCTCGCGGCGGAAAGCGAAGGCGGGTCCGCGGTCCGAAAGCGCCGCGACACACCCGCCCCAATGGCCCGCACAGAAACTCCGGCCTGACCCTGAGAGGCGACCGGGCCAACTCCGGCTGACGACGCCGCCCGTGGGCCTGGGGTGCAGAGTCACCCGCGACCCTCCGCCGCGTCAGGCAGCCCACCCATGGGGTCCCTGGGCCACAGGAGGGCCTCTGCGCCTGGCCTCCCCTGCAGGATTTAGGGCAGTAGGACTTGGCCGCGTCCAATACCCAGTCCCTTCCGTCCAGCCACCGGCCCCGGGAAGTTCCCCACCCCAAGCTGCGACCAGGCCAAGGAGTGGGCGACCGCGCTGGAGGGAGCCCAAGGCGGCGGGGCAGAGGCCAGATATTCCCTGGCCATAGATCCATCCGGGATGGGACACGGATCTTCTCTCGCAGGCATTTATTTATTCAGCAGCTACTACGTGCTGCGCTGCACTGAGGAAGGGCCGGACGTCGGACTCCGGATAAGACCACGCCGGGAGCGTGCTGGGCCTGAACTCCGAGCACTGTGTCCCCAGCCCAAAAATTCCTTTCCTGCCTTGTCTATACCACGGTTCTCCATTCATATTCTTCCGGGTTTCTAAGCAAATTCTTTTAAAACACGGAGTCCTGAGGAAAGCAGGCCCTGGAACGCMATCATTCACCTCTTGGTGTGCATTCGCTTAATTTTGTCTGCTAATATGTAATGACTTCCCACCTGTGCAGGACTCAGGGCTGGGCCAACATTATAGGGTTTGCCTCTCTTCCCGGATTCATAGGCCCGCGAGTGTTGAAGCSAATTGATACTGCACAGGAGTCAGTCTGGAAAGTGCAGGAGGAGGGTGCTGGCTAAGGGCGGAGGCTCAGACTTGGAGAGGGCACTGGGCTTGACTTCTCTCCTTGAAGGGGAAAAGGCCATCTCTTCTGTACCTGGAGCAGTCTAGGCGGGGAGCAGAAATTTAAACCACCAGAAACTCTGTAAAGCTTGGAGGACCTGGGAGGGAGCAACCAGACTGTGAGCCAGAGGTAGTGAAGGTTAGCACTGAAGACGAATTCGCTCTTTGGCGCTTTTTCTTTCTAGATCTTCCTTTACACCAAGGCCTTTGGAAGCTAGGCTTTGCGCTTAGTAAAGAGAACCGCCCGCCCACCCACCTCATAACCTGTATTCTGCCCTGCTCCATTAATCAAGAAATGATCTCTCAAGGTCCTAGTCAGTGGAATGAGACAGCCTGATGGTTAGTCTTAAGGTTGGACTTTTGAATGCTGAAAAAAAAAAAAAAAAAAAAAAAACAGGGTTTGTCTAAAACTAATCTTTCACAATACTGAGGGGATGTGTTTTGTTTTGGATTGCTTTAAATTAGTCCACTTGCATGCCCAAAATTTGCTGTGTGTATACTAACACCATTAATCCTCAACCAAACCAAGCCATTGTTATTTAAAATTGCTTCCTGGCTTTTCTCCCCCCCTCCCCCAACAGTTTAAAGACATTTGTTATGCTAAAATATTAACATCCTACGTTTAAAAACAACAACACCACATTAGAGTAACAGACTTTGCAGTTGCCATAACTTAACTCATTTCACTGGGATGAACTACTGCACAGTAGTTTCCAGCATAGTTTCAAATTTGGTAAACTCTCAGCTAAATATTATTACCTAATTTCTAAAACAAATGAAGAATCCAAACAACCCACAACATTAAATGGCATTTATTGTTCCATAAATCTTCAGACTTCAAAAAGAAATGCTAAGTGGACAAAACTCTAAAGCAAGGAAGAGACAAGCTCACTTCTCTCCCACTGATAGGCGCAGGAAACATTTGATCATACAAAAGCAGTTAAAGGCAGAAAGGAGAGCTGCTGCTCTACAGCCATTCTTGTTTTGATCTCCTTTGAACTCTGCTGTTCTGATTTCACCTAATCTATGCAGGAGCATCCCTTTAGAGAATTCCTAATGGTTAGGATAATGAAATTTCATCAGTATTCATATCTGTAAAAATGTAAAAGTTATCCCCATTTAGATTTTATTTGGGTTCCCCATGATCCTTGGCAAAGAAGTATGACACAATCTACTGTTTAGGATGTTAGATTATCAAATTCTGGTCAATGACAAATCTATTCTCTGACCCTCAAATTGTCCTTTTCTCCTACCTTTACAGTTTCTCCAGTGGTAATAGTCTGTGGGGATAAGATGTTATAAACAAAGCTTCCACAGTCAATATCCTAATCCTAGGTGGCCAGGAAATTAGCAATATAAAAATTAGGATTAGAAAGTGAAAAATATTTCAAAAGATCATCTGGTTGTACCCAAATTTAAAATATACATTCCTTTATTCCAGCAATGTAATGATTTTACCTCTGGATATGAAAATTCCTCAGTGTCTTCAAAGGATGTTCATTGCRGTGTGTTTAATAAGATCAAAACTGGAAAAACCACCAGTGGCCATTAGTAAAGTGCTGATTAAAATGAAGTATAAATTACCCATGCTCAGCAAGCATTTAAAAAGCATTAAATACATTAAATAAGGAAAGATGTCCAGGATATATTAAGTGAAAAAAGCAAGGTTCAAATAGACACTGCTCACTGCCAGTTAACTTTAGTATAGRGTTACAATCCGATTCTGGAGGTCAGGCCAACCATAAAATGTAAAGATGACAGTCTCCTATATACTTACTTTGTGTCAAAGGAATAGCACAGTAAAGGAGGGAATTTTTATAGAGGATGGGAACTATCAGGGAGGTCCCATCAAAGAAGTTTACATGAAGTAAATGATCAGTAAGGAAAAGGGATGGGGTAGAGGCGAACACAGACATAATCCCAAATTAACAGGCCAGGCAGGGCATGCTTATGGAAAGAAAAGGACATACAAAGTTCAAAGATGATTCTGGCATGAAGGAACACAAGACTGGCTGGAGCCGTCTAGTTAAGGAGGTTGTAGTGATAGTATAGGTATGAGATAGATAAGGGCTGGGATTAGAAATAAAGCAATGAGGATGAAAAGGCATGATCTGGCAAGAATTTGTGACTGATTAGATTAAGAAGGGAGCGAGCGGTGAATAGACTAGAAGCAGGAATCTGGGATGAGTCCAAGATTTTAGACTGTGGAAACAGATTCAAAGAACTGGAAAAAAATGAGGAAGTCCAAAGGGGGATCTGATATAGGGTTTAGTTTTAGAAATCAGAGATACCCAGCAGAAAGTTAAAGGTCAGGACTAAAACTCAAACAACAGGTCAGGACTGCAAATACATGTTGGATGTCRTCATCGGAAGTTGGTAGAGGACTGAGGCTTTAGAACTGAATCTTAGGAAGGAAATGTTAATGCAAGTAGAAGAGAATTAAGTAACTCATCTATAATCCTATTTTTGGCCCATAACTCTTCAGTAATGTGATACGATTTTGTTTATTTCTTTATGGTCTCTGTTTTCAGTGATGTGTGTAAGAATTATTTGCTAGCGTGAAAACCATCTTTGAATGAATTATTGTTATAGCCCTTATTGTTCTGCTAGTGAATCAACTCTGTGTAGGACAAGATGAACTGGTTTTCAATATTTTAATATCCCTTGTTTTCTCAAGGAGATTGGCGATTATATAAGCCAGAAATTCTAAATAAAAAGAACATTCCTTTTTTTCCTGAAGCAAACAAGTTAGTGACTTTTGGGGACTAGGGGAAAGGAGTTCTTCTGCAACCAAACTGATTAAAATAAGTACTATCTATAATTGTTGTGGATAGATTATCCTAATCCACAATTTCTAAATTTTGTTGTCCAAACAGCCCTTAAGAAAATAGGCATGTGATCTTTAAAAATCCTCAGTGCTAGCCTAAACCAAAATCCTATATTACCATAAACACTTTCCCTCCAGTTAATGATTATACTAACACATTAAGCAAAAAAAAAAAAAAAAAATCTTTCCAATTCAATAATAAGCAGATTTATTTTGTTGTTGTTGTTTTTCGTGTTTTATTTTGTTACTGGGGATTGAACCCAGGGGCACCTAACCACTGAGCTTCATCCCCAGTCCTTATTATTTTTTGTTTTGAGATAAGGTCTCACTAAGTTGCTTAAGGCCTCCCTCTCTAAGTTGC